CAAGGATTCCAGTGCAGCAAACGCCAGTAGACACATAATGTTGTCTCTTGCAGAGGCACCCAACACAGTTAAAGCCAAGTCCTTTCTCTCTGTTGCAGCATCACGGCGACGGCTGCCAGCATAGGCGCCGCAGGGATCCCGCAGGCCGGCCTGGTCACCATGGTCATTGTCCTCACCTCGGTGGGACTCCCCACAGATGACATCACCTTAATTATTGCCGTGGACTGGGCTCTGTAAGTTACATTAAGATGCAACGATGTTGCTAAAAAAACAAATTTCTCTGGGGATAGATTTGTAAAAATCTACGTAAAAGACACAGAAAGTAGTTATTTTGCTTCAAACAGTGCTGATGAAATCAGCCTCAGATGAAATATCTTTTTCAAGTGGGTTCTGTACTGTAAAAAGTCACAGGTGGATGAGAGTCACCTTAAGGATTGCACACCTTGATACAGCAGAGTTTCATTATACCAAGTTTCTGGATAAAATGTTTTTAAAAAATACTTCTATTTCCTGTTTTAGTCCATTTGAAACCACTTTCAGAAGAACTGGGAGAAATAATTGTTTATTTTCATATTCTGGGTAATAAAATGCTATTTATTCTTATTATTAATAGGAGTCATGAGAGTGATGTCAGAAGCATTTTTAAGCTATTTATTTCAGGAATGTTAGAGAGATTCTTCTTTATAGTATAAGTGGTATTTGTGGACCTGACCTTGAAAAGGGCAGTTCAGCTTTTAGTAAAGAAGTCCTCCTAACACTAGTCATTGAAGTTCAATAGTTAACAAAGCATAGCAAAATACAAATATTTTTAGTTGTATTACGAAAGTCTTCTTCACCCTCTATATCTCTCTTTCATCCAGCTCTTGCAACATGAATATTTCATTGTTTTTACAGTAAGTCTTCCAGCATATATGGGAATTAATTTTTTTCGCAAAACTTTTAGAACAACAGACAAACTCACTCGGGTTTATATTTCTTGATAGTATTAAAAAGTGACCAAGGAGCACACCCAGCTTTTAGTCTTTTACAGATGACCTTTCATACAAAAATATCTATTTTTACATTATGGCTCTTGGTGGTTTCGTGAGCCTGCAGATGCAAAATGTCCACATGGTTGACATGATGAATATTTCCAGTATTAGATCTGGAAGTACTGAAGCATGACAACCTGGCAACTGCTCTGTACAAACATAGACCATAACTGGCCAAACAATATGCAAAGCAAACCCACTTGCTAACAACTTTCAATTTTCCTAGAAAATCTCTGTCTTCAGAACAGCTCCTAAGTAAAGCCCAGAAGAGTAAGCAAACTCTGGAGCAGTGTTCATACAGCTTCTTCCCCTACTCAACTTGCTCTGTGCAATCCAGAATATCTTTCCAAAATCAACATTTTATGATCAACTAAGAAAAAAAAAAAGCTATGGAGACTGTGTGTAAGAGAAACTTCTATCAATAGGCACTATAACAGGACTTGTCACTACTTGTCCTGAGGATTTATTTTCAAGATAAAACCCCACATCAGAACAGCGGGGATCAGAAAATGGATTCAGCAAAAAAGTGTAAGATGCAGCAAACAGGTCTATCTCCTGGCAGTCAAATATTATCAGTGAAGTTATTTGCAACTACGTGTACAGTTTGGATATCTGCATGGAACAAACTGTTAGTGCAGGAACTGTTGATGCTTATTAGGCATGTGTTTGCATCAATATTTGCATGTATAAATACATGCCTAAAATAGATGGAAAAAAATCAGCCTACAGTTTGTGTTCTATATTAAGGTGCATGATCTGAAGTCTGAGCATTGTTGATGTTGGACTGTCATTCTCTTTAATAAGCCAAACATCTGGAGATTTTTGAATCTCAGTTTTATAACCCACATTTATAAATTAAGTTACCAACAGGACACAGTTTTCAGATGTGTCTGCTTTCCTTGGAAGAGACATAGCTACGTAGCCTATTGAAATATCACCAGTTTTAATTATAAGATTACAAGTAGTTTTAAGTGTAACACCTATTTATGACAACCACTAACTTTGTGATTCACAGCCAATTTTCTATAGATTTATTTTTTTTTTAATGGTTGCAGAGGACTGAAACCTGGGAAAAACTGGTCCCTTATGCACAAATAAATCAGTGAAACTGGTAATATACAAAGTACTGATAAACGTACAAAGCCAAATTGGAAAAAAAAAGATTGTGGTTGAAAGAGAAAGGTCTTTAGGAGACACTGGTAGCCATAACAAATACAGCTTTTTTCAGAAATGAGAATAATTTAGGTATGGCCACTGCGTGTATATTATGTAAGTGTAGTTATTCAGTCATATTCTGAAAAACTGTAAACTGTATTTGTAACTGTAAATTGCAGCAATTCAGCACTTGAGTTGCTGAGACTGTAGGAGTGGGCCCTTAACCAGCTAATTCAAGGTACTGGTTATACCGGCTGCCCCGTATGCTGGTGCTTGTGCATTTGCAGCACAGGCCTTCAGACCAGGTGCTGGCCAGCGACACGAACCCAGATGCAAACGCGACCTTGGTCTGCTGCGGCCAAGCCTGGCTGGGTTACGCAGTGGGGAGGCCTGGCTGCTGCTGCAGGTCCAGACAGGTGGCAGCACAGGGCACGGAGCACACAACGGGCTGGGAATCCCAGCTGGGCAGCTGTGCAACTGTGCCAAACTCCTCACTGCCATTTCTGAACTAGATAGCTCATAAAAGTGCAGCTGAAACGGTCGTCAGCTCTAACACAGCAATGACGGAATGGGCGGGCGCTGCAAGAGCCAGCGACTTACAGCGCTGTTCCGTTTGCCAGGGACAGGTTTAGAACCATGATCAACGTCCTGGGAGACGCGCTGGCCGCCGGGATCATGGCCCACATCTGCCGGAAGGAGTTCCTCAAGGACGGCGACGAGGTAACGGCGCCGCAGCCTCGGCGTGCCGGGGAGCCCGCGCGCTCCCGGCCTCCCGCCCTGCGGCATCTGGTCTGCGCAAGGCGTTCCAGACAGGGCACATCTGGGCAATGCGCTGCCTAACCAGCTGGGACGGAGGGGTCTCTTCCAGCAGGTCATGCAAAAAACCACTCAGATTCAGATCTCCCTAGGGTTTTTAGGAGCCTGATGCAGAAATCTCAGGCATGGAGCTATTTAGCAGAAACAGGCGCATAGTCCCTGCTCAAACAGCCCAGGGAGCCTGGGGAACTAAACGAAACATCCCCCGGAGCAGTGCTGCCTCTGGCCCTGTTCTACCCCTTCCAGGCAACTCTACCTGACAGACCCGCACTAGCTTTCCTCCATGAGGACAGGATATTTCCTGCAGAAAAGGGCCTTCACAGGCACTAATCTCCACAAGGCATGTGGAGGCATCTCCACATCATCTATAGGAAATTGCTCAGTGTAATAGCGAAGTTCTCCTTCTGGTGTTATTTCTCCCATTTCACAGCTAGTCTTTCTGGTAAATCCCATTCTGATGTCTTCCTGGACTATCCATTTAAAATTACAACTCTTTCAAGTTTTATAGAGAGAGACTCTGAGGTACCTACAGCAATTACAAATGACAGGGTTAGGCCTGAATATATTGACTACATAAATAGCCAATTACAAATAAAAAGAATCTATAACTTAATGGCAAGGTTTGTCATCAGTTGCAAAGCCAGATGTGTAGCCTGCAAACACTGACATTTTATTGCAGTACTTTGAACCCAGCCCTGGAGGAGAACGTTCAGATTTCAGCAGGTTTCACCCAAGAAGAGATGTTTCAAGACTATAAAACCCCTCCGAAGGGATTATTTAGTCATCTGTGATGAGATTTTTTTTCTTTGCTTCACGGTCAATAATCGTATTAAAATATACCATTAGTCTTCCATGCATTTTGGCTGCATAATTCATGGAGTTAGTAATGTATACGCAAAGGCCAAATTTCTCAGCTGCCAGCCCACCTCTTCTCTCTGCCAGTATATACATCTTATTTTCCCCGTCAGAACTTCTGCTTTGATTTAAAAGACACTTCAGTAACCTCCTGAGGCTAGAAGAAAGGCAGAAGGTGGCATCAGATGACTAATTGGTCTATGTAATAGTGCTCAGAAGCAAGCACTGTCCAAAGCTCAGCATGCTGCTTAAGAGTCTGTACTGAAGATGCTAATTATCTTTGTCTGGGAATTCTTGTCTTTCATCGCTGTATTTATATCACTCGATGCAATGATGCAAAGTTATTAGCGTAGGTATAAGTTAAATTACAGTTGTGACAGCATTTGCATACTGAGAGACCTAGATCCTCCTTTGTTTGACCCACATGGTCCAAAGATGCGCCAGTGCATATGAGAAACAGGTCCTGGCGGTCTGCAGAAGCCCTAGATAATCCTGGTGAATGTAAAGCAGAGCACAAGCTTTCAAAGTAAAGATTTCTTTCCTGTGGTCTACAGCAAGCAGTGGCAGTTTTCCAGATCTTAATGCTTTTCACACAGGTGCCATTGATCTGTGAATCCAAGCCTCTTAACGTCCGTCAGATTGTGGCTTGCCAGCGAAACGGCTGCGTGAAGACCATGGACGAGGCTCGTGGCCCGGACACAGGGACAGAGTTTCAGCACCACATACCGGTACAAGTGGAGCAAGAAGAGAGCCCGGTGGAGAATCAAACCAAGAAATCCGACAGCAAGGACCACTGCACTATTGAAATAAATGAACTAGAGACAAACGTGTAACTGCTGGTATCTCATACCCAGTGACCTGATAGCCAGTCTCTACCTCACAGCTGGAAGAGGGACCCTGCCTTGAACAGGAAAATGTGGAATTATGGCCACTCTGCTTGTACTGGAGCTAGGCGACCAGCTGTGACCATCAGGAAAGGCACACGGCTTGCGAGAGGCACTTCTTTAGGTGGAAGATTTTAATACTGAGAAATTAAGGGACTTCTCTTTTACCTCTGGACAAAGTCATTTGACTCCAAACGTAGTATTTGACATTCCGTTTGCTTTTTTATTTTTTTATTTGACCCTTTTTGATTTTCTAAAAAGCCTTTTTTTTGGTGAATCTCAGTAAATATGAACACAGTATTTATAGAGATATTCTGCTGTGTGAAAACATTGCACCAAAACTGCTGAAGATGCTAATTTTTGTCTAGTATTTGCTAAATAAAGGGTTTGTGCTTAGTTTTAGAAAAGCAGAGAAGAAAAATCACACTGATTTCCTGATCTCAAGGTTTTATATGTATTATTGAGTAATGCTTCAAACGGCAGGGGAGCAAAATGCTCCTTTTTGCAAGAAAACACGCCAAGTTAATTCCGATGGGCAGCCTTCAGAGACAGGCACTCGCGTGTGCCCGGTAGCACAGAATTGCTAGGCCATTGCAGAGCACAGTTTGCCTTCCAAGTGCCAGATTTATGAACCTTTTTTTTAACCTAACTCTTGAGTAGAGCCAGTACGATGCACGCGCGGTGGCAGAGGTAGAGCTAACCCTCATCCTCGAGCACTGGTGCTAACGTGTCCTCTCCTGCAACCTGTAGGCTGTTGTACTGTAAATATGTATAAACTCCATGCTCAAGCTCTTGAACCACGTGCTTCATCCAGAGGGCAGGCTGATCACAAACTGGAAGCTGAAGCTGATGAGTAATATTTGGGTTTTGTGGGGAGTTTGCTGTGGAAACCATCATGTTATTTTTCATAATTCACTACTTTGAATTACTTTCTTTCAAATGTCTGCCGAATCTTTCAGTCACATCTGCTGAGTTTGTTTCCAATGTCTGTGCTAGAGAACATTTTTAATAAACCTGCCATTGCAAAACCAGGCTGTCGGTGCACTTCTGCTTTGTGTGTTGTCTTGTTTCTTACCACATAGGATAATGGAAGAGAGAAGTTTTGAAAAGCCAGGGCTTGATGCACAGAGTGCATACTAGTTCATGCCAGTTACATTTAATACTTGTGGCCTATCAGTTCCAGCTAACATGTGGTTAACTGGTACTAACTACTGTAGCTGGTGCTACAGTATGGTGCTCCCATAGGAAAAACAACCCAGATCAAAAGAAACAGCAATTTCTGCACTGGCCGGAACTCGAAGGACTTCACACACGTGAGGACGGTTTCACTGCGATGTGCATCCTGCGAGGGCCAGCTTTAACAGAACTGATGTATTCCTCTGGAAACACACACAGCTGGTAACTCTTTTCATGATTTGACATGGCTGATGACAGAAAGCATGGCCCACAAATATAGACAACCTGAAAATGCTCAGAACAATTTGCTCCGAGACTGTCCTGGCACAGACCTGCGCCACAGGGCACCACTGAAGCAATGAGCAATCCCACAAAGCAGGCACTGATGTTGCAAACCCGAGACTTCGATTCAGCCCAGTCCTCACAAACGAGACCCAGCAGCCGGGGAGGAAACAGCGCAGGCGCCTTGGAAAGGAGGCAGGACCTCTGCCATGGACCCCCTGCACACCCAGGAGCCCGGCTTGCCGGGCAGGAAGCGCTTCCAGCCTCGCCTCCCTCCGCTCCCCGGCCACGTGCAGCCTTTGGCTAACTAAGTGCAAGTCCTTCTGCTGCTCCCCGAGGGATCTTACCTCGTGTGACACTCGCTCCTGCTCTGGGTGCTCTGCGCTCGCAGCTGCTCCACACCCCGGAGCGCTGCCACCAGGAAAGCACCGGGGGGGCTGACCCGTGTTGGCAAGTTGCCCATCTAGGATGCTGTATCTGAGAAGTCAGAAATCGCCTCCCAAACAGGCTTTTCCAAAAGCATCTTGTTCCTCATGCGGCCTTGGCCTAGCCCAGGAGATTCTTCTTGCCTTGCTCCACAATGCTGCTGCAACAAACACCGACACCTGGACTGACGCTTTCTGCAGAAGACTTGAGCAATAGCACTTAACATATCTCGAAAGATCTAAGCCAAATCCAGTGCCAAGAAATAACTCAACTTCTGCAAGGTGAATTTCATGTGATAAAGCTCAACAGACAGAGGAAGGAGCCACTTGTGCTCCCAAGACCAAACAATAACGAACAACACAGGATTCTGCCCTTTATGTTTGTGCAGTTTGGCAGTGGGGAATGGGGAAGTCTCACAGGTAACGGCACAACAGAGTCAAGTCATGAGTTTTAAAATTAACCTTCTGCATCCAAACCCTATTCACAGACTGTCTCGCCAGGATATCTATCCCAAATACAAGTAAGATGAGCTGGATAATGAGCTGAAATATAAAGTCTTACAAAACTCCCTACATGCTATATGAGCAAGTCTGATTTAGAAAATGCAGCAATGCTGTAACACCACCGTCTGATGAGCTCGCTCTTTAGGTCTACTGCAAACATCAACATTAATTTTAGCCCCTTTTAACAGCAGCAGGTTCCAGCCCGCCAGATGGACAACCTTGAAACAACCTCGGCCTTTTCTGCTTTCTGTAAAAACACAGTAACCGCTGACAGAAGGAAGCTGATGGGTGCAAGCAAATGTGTAACCAGGGAATGGAACTGCATCTGAAAAGCTCTGGCTGCCTTTGATCTTGCACGTGTTAAGAACTGCTACGGCTCTGTCTCCACTGAAGGCAGGTGCATTTTTACTGTTCTACATTACAGCACAGCAGCAATGAGGAGCGGGTGGCTTTTCCTCCAGGCACTGAACTGGCTCAGATGAGGCTCACGGCCCTCAAGCAGAGTAGGTTTTCCCATGGGGATGCCACCGCTACCTGTTTGACTTACACTCCAGTACATCTTTTTCACTATTAATAGCTGGAAGAAAAAAAAAAAAATCTGATTTTGGACCACCCAGTAAAGAGAACAGACAAATGTAATGTCTCAATTCCTTAAGGGCGAGATGTGAATGAACCGCATGTCAATTTTCTCACTTTAACCTCTGATTTCAGACACAACTAAGGAGGCAATACATACTCAAAATTACATTCTCCAATAGCTGCTTTAAGGATACCGGTTGACCCCTCTGCAACTTAAAAGAGAGTTCGTCCCACATGGCCTAAAACAGAAGAGCGCAATAGAGCAGGGAGGATGGTCCTGCTTTAGCTGACTTCATCATTCGCTGCTCTGGACCGCGCGTGTGATCGTGGGCAGGTATCCCACGCACGCAGGATTTGCCTCTCATCTAAAACAGAGAAAAAAGTGATTTTCTAATTCAACAGGCATGGCAAGAATAAATCAGTTAAAGACTGAGACCATTATGTAATATATTAATGGGGACTCATATGATTATCTTGGATTATCCATTTCCTGCGAGCACAGGATCCCTATCCACAGGAGTTGCCAGGCCCCTGTTGCCAGTGACAAAAACTCTGATTCCATCAGTTATAGATAAGTAACCGTTGCTTCTCCTTCGCCTAGATGATGATGCCTGGGAAGGGGTTTGTAAAGTGTTTCAGGTGTTTTATAGGCCTTAAAACTGCAAGCACGGCCGCCTGTTGCTGAGTGGTTTTGGAGAAGGTACAAAGGAGGTTCCGGGATGACAAGACGGCGAGGTGGAGAGGTTTGGCCAGCTCTTGGCCCGCGCTAGAGCTGAACCTGCTCCTCGCCCTGTGCTCCTAGGAATTGCACCCGTGCTCCGTTTGCACTTCAGCAATTGCTGAATTGCACTTTTTACCTGTATCTGCTCACAAATACTAGCCAAAAGCCAGAATCCAACTCCTCATGTGAAGCTTACTCTACTTAATTGCTGCTTGTGAACTTTCCTAATAAGGATATGATCTCTCTAGCCTATTTTTTTCCCCCTCAAAGATGGATGTTTTAATAAGATGGAAAAAGCAAGGGAAGCAAAATAAGAAATGTTTTATGTTCAGTGATATATCACATTACATCTGCTGCAAACAGTCTATGCGCTAGATGGCAAAACCAAAAGAAGAGGAAAAAAAAAGATTGACCTTCAGATGTTTCATTCTGATTTCACTGCTTCCAGTGGTTTTATTGGGTTTTACCACTAGGCTATTAAAAACATGTGGAAATTACACAGAACTAAGTCAAACTGAATACTTTCAACTCTAATCTCCCATCTTCTTTTCCATTTAAATATTTTAAATAGTTCTTCATGAATTTTCTTGCAAACAAGAAGTTTGCAAGTGCAAGGATTTGTGCAAGCCCTAGGTTTATAGATACTTTCCTTGGTGAAACAATGCTCTTTGTTTTACAATAAACCACCCAATCTTCTCATTCTCCTTTTCAATAGAGCAAAGCATTTCTCTGACCTGGAATCCTTCTAAGCAAACGTGCAGGGAGAAAGGAGTCAACACGGGCAGGACGGTTCTGCCTGCAGAGCTGAGGCTGGAGCTGGCTCTAGCAGAGCTCTGCGAGGCAGCCCCAGCGCTGCCCTGCGCTGGGAGGGCCCCACAGCGCCCCGGCTTGCTCCGAGGTGCTGTCTCACTTGTGCTGGACTCGGCTCTGAGGGAAGGTCTCGCACGCTGCGTTTTGCTCAGTCTCCAGAGGAAATCGCACACGAGGCAGTGGAGGGTCCTCAGCCCCAGAGGTCTTGGTCCTGCCCTCTCTGTAAAGCAGGTGGGAACCCCCCAGGTGGGAACTCGCCTGTCCGAGCACAGCAGGAACACGGCTCGGGTTTTAGCCAGCGCCGCAGCGAGGCAGACGGCCCGGGGGAGAGGGGCCGGAGTACCGCAGAAACAATCAAAGTTAATTTTAATTCCAGAGGAAGGAAAAAACCCTAGGTAAAACCTTTTGAAAACAAATTTCTTGGACTGCCAACAAATATGCAATTATATCCCAAGTAATAAAAGCATGAGACTCATATTCATTCCTCATCTGCAACCGGAGCTGAGACTACAGTAAATCAGTTGGAATTTTTGATCAAAATTAGCATTCCTGGCAGCACCATAAACTTATGCTAAACCAGTTCTGGGATTTCCGTGGGGAGAGCTGAGCACAGCTGTACAGCTGTTCACTGAGACGGCGTTAGACCATTTCAAAGCTGTTTGAGGAGGGATTTCTTTCCTGACAGACTGTTTAATGACCTTGGACACGACTGAAGGATTTTGGTGGAAACACTTCATAAAGTCGGTTATTAGAACATATTTAGCGCCCACGGCCTCTGCGAATATCCCCCGACCGGGTGCTTTTGCCACGGTGAGTCAGAGCTGCACCAAGACCTTCCTTGTTAAAGGAAACCAGGGACTTTGCTCTGCTCCTACACTAGCAACTTAATAGTGACACTGGCCCACAAAATGAATCCCATTAGGAAAGAAATGCCTGGAACAAACAGGGATGAATTCACATGATACAAACCCTAAATCCTTCTAGGTTTCAAGGACAACTATTGCCAGGCCCTGCAAAAGGACGAGGGCAAAACTCGGCCGTGGGCCCTGGCAGTGCCCTCGGGCAGCCTCGCAGCAGGGCTGGCCCCAGGGTGGCCACCTCCTTGCTCCCCGCACGGGAGCTGCTGTGACCGGCCCAGCAGGCCCTCCAACCTTGAAGGAGTCTGCAAAAACACAGTTTTCCTGCCTTGTTTTTTCCTACAAGCTCCCAAATACAAAGTCCCCAAGGCCACTTGGCAGAGACACGCGGATGGGACATCTGGGGTGGCAGCAGGACACCAGCACTCGGGGCACTGTCCCATGGAGTTTGGGAGCCAAACCTGGAAATAGAGCTATTTGGGGCATCTACCGTGCCCTTCACAGCTCAAGTGCTGCATCCATGCCCCTGCTGCAGTGAAAAACTGTAACCGAGCTCAAAAAATCCCAAGTTTTCCCTCTTTTGTTCAGTATTTTCTGTGTTGAATAAACCTCTGAGGTCAGTTTGTATTAACACCAAGCATGTGCAAATCATACTTAGAAACAGAACTGCCAACTGGATATTTATACTTGCAGTGTTGATTATCTGCACGCACAGCTAAGCATTAGGAGCTTTTTCTTCTTCTTTTCCCCCTATCTGAGCAATTCCCAGGAAGGAAGTTAAATGGAAATGTCGGCTGTTGTCCGTTCCTGGCCCTGCTCTGGCTGCAGGAGCAGGCACCTTCCCAGCTCTCACTCTCTGGAGAGGGAATAGGAGAAGCCCCAGGTTCCTGCTGCCCTGCGGCCTGAGGCAGCGCATGCTCTTCAACATGCAACAGATGAGAGATTCTTCAATTTCACTGAAACTGTTTTATAGAGCTCTACAGGACCACGGGGTTTGCAGGGGATGGGATATTGATGATTAAGCCATGTTCTGTAAGCATCTTACATACAAATCTACTCTGAAAGTCATCTGGAAGGGTATTTTAATCACTCATACCTGCATACCTGTATTCAAAAGCGTGTTTTCTTGTAAAGATTTAGGGCCAAGCTTTTGTTTTGTTCAGGAAGCAACCTTTTCTTCCACGATCCGTGATGGTGCTGGAGTGCATAAATTGGGAACTGGCATCTTGAAATTGTGTTATATGCTAAAGAAACCAAAAGGGAGAGTATGGAACAAGATCTTCTCCAGCAATAAAAACAGCTGGTGAAAAATTAAGCCAACTATGTCTGCAAGTAAATCCTGGAATACAGTATGCAAAACAACATGTGCTCAACCAGAAATTCGCCTAAGAAAACACCCTTTCCCCAAGCTGATTAGCTAGCTCAGATGAAGAACAGTACAATCAAACAGCGACCTTGCAGCCCAAGTACTTCTAAAAGCTTTCTGCTTTTCCTTGGTTTCTTTATTTTCCATGATTTCAACAGGAGCTGAGAATACTCAACATCAAAAAACAGGAGAGGCTTCAAGACATTAAGACAGCAGGTGCTGTCTCCCACCAGAACCAAGTACGGAAATTTCTCCCAAGCTTAATAACAGTCTGCTCCTGAGACCCTGACACGCTCTCTTACCTCTTTTGCTTCATTTGTCTCACTTCTGACTCTTAACATGGATGATACACAATATGTGAATAATTCTACTGCATATATCATACTGCATACTCACTCTTCTGGACATATTTTGAGTTACTCCTACAGCCACCATACGGGCAAACAACAGCGAGACAGAAACTTTACCAAAGCTCTGGAAGGCAGACATACAGTTCTTTTTATATATTCACAAATGTTTTATCTTTAAACCTTTCTAAAATAGGCATATACTGCAAGCTTTGGCAGTAAGAATAAAATATTACGGGATCCAGCCTTACTTTGTTCTTCTCATCCAAATATACACATTGTTCTAACAGAGGAATGGATTCATCCACAGTGGCAGTTGGTACTGCTGCTTGCTTCATACACACGAAACTACCGCAAATCTCCATCTGGCCTGAGCAACAACAGCTTCCTGGGAGTGGCAGAAGGGAAAAGCAGCACATACAGGGCTCGCTTTACACGGAGCGACACAGACAGCATTTGAAGGCATGTGTGCCAAACAGCCCCATAGTGTTATTACAGACGGTAACAGTGAGAGAAGAGAAAAGAGGAGAAACAAAAGCCAGCTTTTGTGAGTTCCCGGGCAATCCCTTATGATCCTGGGTCTTGAGTAAGATGATCTGGAAGCTTTGGAAAGGCATTTGGGGTCTCTCCCGGAATACGGCACTGTAACATGCTGTCTTCCACGAGCCTGGAACGGCGCCAGGGCCGCTTCGGTGCGATTCACTGCACGTTTTGCTAAGTGTTCTCTGTGTATCTATATAGATATACACACATAGAAATATAAGTAGTTTTCCATATGCTTTCCTGCAAAACATCAGAAAAACAACATCAGTTACATAACAGAATATAGGATTCAAATTAGGTTAAAGCTAATATCTGCTGACCAGTCACACGTGCCCCAGAGCAACAGAGATGTGCAGATTTGCAAGTTAAACGTGCTCTAAGCAAGCAGACATAAATTACTTGTTTTCTCACAAAGTTTTGACATAACATAGGCTAGAGGCCTAACGTCTGGCTTTCCAAATAGCTTTTCAAGACCCAACTTCCTTTCAGTGCATTAGGGCTATTCCCAGCATTTTTCTGTGTGTCATTCTCCATGACAGAACATTGATTAAGGACAAAATTAAACATTTCATTTTTTTTTTCCAATTCTCGGAGTTCAGCCCTCCAGAAGTATCATGTCTGGAACTTCCTCATCTTATTTGTATATAAAATACTTCTTTTAAGAGAGCAAACAAAACTTCACATTGTTCAAACACTGTTTTTCTCGGCATTTTCTTCTGCAATTGGAAAGAGGAAGAGAAAAGGATCTCTCTCAAGTAGACAGCTCAAGTGGTGGGGCAGATTGGTTGCCAAATACTGAGATCTTAATTTCAGGATTACCAATTTGGAACCAGACACAGTTAGCAGCAAAAACCATCTGCAATCTGCCAGAGGCTTCTCAGGGAATGTGGATGAAGGGGGCAAAGCAGTGGAAAAGCCCAGGCTGGTGTGAGGGCACAGCCGAGGCTAACCCGAGCCAGGCACTTGGCTAGCCCTGCACAGGGTCTCAAAAAGTGATCTGAAGTGGATATTCTTTTAACTGATTTCCAGCCTGCATGGTCTTCTGCATCAGAGAACTCTTCAGTTCATTCTTTGTTTTCATTTTGCTTTGAAATAGTTGCTCAAAATTACCATGAAGTGTCATTTCTTTTGTGTTAACACAACTAGTAAATGACCACCTCCATGTTTATCAGCTCTACTTGCCCATCAGCAGAAGCCAGTGCAAACCACCCATTGTCTCTGGTAAAAAACAGAGTCAGTTGCCTTTAAAAAGGGAAAATATATATATGTATTTTTCCCACCCTTTTGATTCTACCATTCCCGATCATGTTCTAGCAAAGGTTTTTAATCTCTTTGTGGATTATCTTCTGTCTTCAAACAGATTTCTAACTTGGAATTGTTTACAGGAGGATCTGAGGATTGGATCCACCATTTAAATAAAGCTCAGTTACTACCTTCCATGCGGTGGGCTTGTGTGAGTTCACATTTTATCTCAGTTCTTCTTCCTCTTCCTCATCTTCCATTTCCTCTTCTGAATCATCCTCATTCTTTGAAGCATTGCTGAATTCCAAGTTCCCTTCAACATCCAGTACTTGTAAGTACTTCAGGCTTTGGAAGAGGCTTTCCTTTAGTGCTCCAACTGCAATCTTATTAAACCTTTACATGGACGAGAGAAAAACTTTTAAATTAAGCCCATTTTTATGTTGAGCCCCGAAGTATTGGTCAACTAGGAAGAAGCCACTGCACAGAGCTACACTGACTTTGCAGTCACTCACACCAGCGCTTCGGAAGAAAGCAACACTATTAAAAATGGCAGCATTGATTTCTTCTCAAGGTGAACCAAATTTTGAAAGCAAGCACATAAAAAAAGATGATCAAGTTCAAGTGTCCCTACACTGTGCAAAGGTCTGAGTTGATGATACAACGCTGAAGCTCAAAAGCAATGTCTTCCCCCCTCCTTTTTTATTTTTATTTGAACACACTGGGTTGCAACTAAGAACAGAGTACTGATTCCTGAGGATGTAAAAAGGAAGGGAAAGATTAGCAAGCAGACGAATGCAGTGACTGTACAAGGCTTGCTGACACCACCTGCATCTTCTCAAAGGATTTACCAGGAAAATAGTGGGAAATATTAAGTGATTCCCACTGGCTTCAGCTGATCAAAATCTCAAAAAGACTCATTATCTTGCCCTCTTCTTCTATAACTAGGTATTTCAAGGGGGAAAAAAAATCATAATATTGCAATTCATCCCCCAGAGATTCTTTGCCTTAGCTTTCTGTTTTCCCAGAGAGGAAAAGAGCCTGTCCCACACTCCACATTTCAAAGTGTAACTTGCTTTTCCATCAGATTCCATGTTATCCCTTGACACTTCGATTCTTCTCCCAGGGCACTGGGAAAACTGATACAAAATAGCTCCTTAGAAACATACCCAATGCAGTAATTTTCATCTGGTATTTTTGTTTTGAAGAATAGAAACAAACTTATCTGTAGTTTAAGAATTCCTCACATTTAATGCTCGGCCCTTTTTTCCTGAGCATGCTTTGAATTCTATTTTAAAACTCCAGAGATATATTATTGTTTTACCACGTTACAGTGATTAATAGCCTCCCATTTCCTATCAAGAAATATAACTTACCCTGGGTGGAGTTGCCTCCTAAATAAGTTAGCAAAACAGTTTTGCACTTTTTTTTTCCTTTTTTAATGTAGAAATATAAAATGTGGTTTCTGGTTTGCTTCCAGACATTCACTAAATTCTCAAATGTGAGCAGCTGGATAGACAGACTGCTCTTATTCACCACAGACTCTTTATTTCTGCTTTTTTGGTATGCAATCGCCCCTCCAGAAAGGGATGACTTGGAACCCTAGAACAACTCAGTTGCATAAAGACAAAATAAAGCCATAGTTAATCTCATGCCACAGAGGTATTTGGCTCTTAAACATATCCATAGAATCAGCTTAATCAACTATTGTCAGGTTTTAAAAATTACTTCAAAACAATATTTTCAATAACATTCTACTAGACTGCAACTAAATTTGTTACTGGGCCAGACTCTGGCCTACTCACTTGTGGCATAAATTCTGAACAACATTATTGCGACTTTACATTATATGTAATAGAGGTCAATATCTACCATCTACAAAATGGACAATTTAATAAATAAGGTCCTCATCACAGTGACAGTCCCCATGAAGCAGAGTTGAAGTTGGACAACTGGACGGTAAACATTTAGTTCACAGCTGAGTGTA